AGAGGTTTATTATTGTGAAGAGACACCATGACCAAGGCAACTTTTATAAAGATAAACATTTAATTGGGCCTGGCTTACAGTTTCAGATGTTTAGTTCATTATCATTATTGTGGAAGCATGGCAGTGTGCAGGCAGACGCTGGACTGGAGGAGCCAAGAATCCTATGTCTTGATCCACATGCAGCCAGGAGACTACAATCCCACACTCGGAGGAGCATAAGAGACCTCACAGCTTCCCATCCCAGCCCCACAAGGACAGACTTCCTGCAACAAGGCAAAACCTATTCTGACAGACCACACCTCCTAGTGTGTTACTCCCCAGGGGCCAAGCTGTCAAAAACGTCTATGCGGACCGAATTTATTCAGACCACCACAGGGATAGAACACTAAAGTAATCCGAAAGGGGCCTTTGGCTTAGGTCCTTCTGAGAAGTGATATTATCTTTGGATAATTTTAAGCAGGATCTAAATCTATTGCACAGTACTTGGCACTCAATCTCAGAAAAAGAGTCAAGCTTGTCAGCTTTTATATTTTTCGTGACAAATTTAATGATTAGGCCAAACACAAGAAAAATAAAACACAAAATATTCTGATTCTAAGCATTTTTCTATAATCAGACTTTTTCAACCACAGATAATATTATAAACTTTATGGTTCTATGCAAATGTTTTCATTTTAAGGTTTTTAAGATTTTTTTTCAGCTAAACATTATTCTCATACCCAGTTAAAAATTAATTTCATCACCTATTTTGGTCTGCTTAAGAAGTTGAGAGCTAGCAGGAGAGATAGAAGGGACAGTTTCCCATTTGCCTGTCACATCTTTTTATTTCTTCTTGTTTCTGAAGGATCATCAAATTGAAGGCAGCAGGGAGTAAAGGGGTGTCTCGCTTGGGTATCTCGGTGCCCTTCGCAGGGGCGGGAGTTGAAATGTAGGCTGTTTCCTATTCTTTTAGAACATAAGAGCCTTTTCTGCTCTTAACATTTTCTGGTAAGGAAGAGAGAAGCAGCTGTGCTCTAAACCTATTGACCTACCATGAAATGCCCAGGTCCCAACCCAGGGCTTCTCAGAAGCAAAAACACTCAGAGATGTTCTGATGTATCTGCTTTGGGTCTCATCGTCAGCATGCACAACTTGGTTCTCTGAAAGAAGACATGTTGATCACACTGCTATCTATCCTTGCATTCCCAGTAGAGTATATTGATAGTGTGATAAGTCATAATATTATATAATATTTATTTAATTCCAAATTCTAGAATTCAGAGTCTTTTCATATCATCTCATTGTCACCATTGAACAGTAACCTCTGTGTGTAAAAATCTATTGCAAAGCCACACTTTTATTTTTATTTTTTTAAAAATTTTTATTTTTCTTTTTAGTTACAATTTGTTAACTCTGTGTCCCAGCTGTATCCCGCTCCCTCATTCCCTCCCCCTCCCCAACTCCCTCCCTGGTCTCCTCCCTGCCCCTTTCCAAGTCCACTGATAGGGGAGGACCTCCTTCCCTTTCATTTGACCCTGTTTTATCAGGTATCTTCAAGGCTGGCTGCAAAGTCCTCCTCTGTGGCCTAACAGGACTGCTCCTCCCCGGGGGGGGGGGGGGGTCAAAGAGCCTGCCCTTGAGATCCTGTTAGAAATAGTCCTTGTTCCCCTTACTTTGGAAAACTACTTGGTTACTGAGCAGAAGTTCTATGTTAAATCCATAGATGGTCCTTGGTTGAGTGTCATTCTCAGAAAAGACCCTGAAAGGCACACTTTTAAAAAGTAGAATTTAACAATGTGACAAAGCTGTCATTTATACCACATCGATGTGTAGGAGAAAGAGGAGTAATTTTGAGAGGCAGAAGTCTGTAGTAGATTTGACATTCATGCATAGGAAAGTTAAATGACATCAAATGTGAGGAGTGCATTTTCTATGCATGGACACAGCCTATGCACATATCCTGTGCATGGATATTGACCTTTGGGAAGCAGTGAGGAGATATGTCTCATGCAAACATCGAGCTTTACATTGTAGATTACTGGGAGTTAAGATGTGGCAGCTGTTTCAGAGACTGATGAAGGACCATCTTGACTACCAGGTTCAGAAAAAGCCGAAATGATGTGATGAAAGTTTTTGAACCCATGCATCCTACCTAATAAGAATGTGGGTACAGGAGAAAGACTTTTATCTAGCAAATAAAATCTGGGTGTATCTAATAATAAAAAGACTCCCTCATTGGTGTTATTAGGAATTCACCATTGTGGCCAGTATCCACAGTGTTACAAGTCATTCACTGAGATCACCAGGAACTATATAAAGGGCAGAGATTTACTTTTAAGTTGCTAATAGTTTGTGATATAGGTAGTGTGTAGACCTTTGCAGCTGCCAGCCTGCAGTGCTCACAGGGTTTTTCCTAACTTCACTGATGCTACCAATGGGCTTCTGAACATTTGTGCCTGAAACCTAGAAACCTAACCTTCTTAATTCTGTTATTTACAGCACACTCACTGCTAAAGCATAGTGAGCCTAACATAAGGCACAGCATTGAATACTGAGCAACAGAAACGTATTAGCACCATCGTGCCAAGCTAACAAGAGCTCTCAGAAGGTTTTCCTTGTTTTTTCTTTTCTCACACTTTATTATTTTCCCTTTTTATCTTTTCTATTTTTTTCCAGATTGAAACCCTTTGCTACCTTAAAAAAGAACCTCTTCATTTTCTATGCATTGTCATTGGTTTTGAATTGAAAATTAGTCATCAGTATGGATTTAACATTCCTAGGTCTGTTTTCCAGCTGGGTTGGTTGGGTGATCTTGACTTGTCCTTCCAGCTTGAAATGCGATAATATATGTAAAATCTCCCTGGGGGCTAGTGGGTGTCACAGATATGTAGGACGGGTATCATTTCTGTTTCTATTTTTTTTTTTAGACTTCCTCATCCCTTCAGTTGCTTTTAACACTCCAACCTCATGTATATCATGGATAAGTTTTCCATTGCACTTTATTCAAAGGAAAATAGTGAGAACACTAAAAATATTCCCCAGTTTCTGGAATAGCATCTCTGTGTGTGACAGTGGGGTGAGGGAGTTCTTTTTTGCTTGTTCTCTATTTATATACATGTAAAGAGAACAGTTCTTATTTCTTCCAGCCATCTGAGATTTTGGAACATGCAAGGGCCCTTCTGGATGTAGATACAAATAACAAAGGTATAATCCAAATTTTACTGGCTCTTGCTCAACCCATTCTGAAAAGATCTCAAACTCTTGCCACCCAACACCCTAGAAACTTACAAATCATTCCTAGGAGGCCTCAGCCACACTGTTAACATTTATTCTGCTCGGAACCACTCCAGGTGAGACTCTCCTCAGCAGACATTACCAAACACACCAGTTTCCATTCCACCTTCAGCTGCAGTGGAGCCGCTGTGGCTCAGGAGCTATGTATGGCGCACTTCCTTTTCTGTGTGGAGTAGTGTGTTCTCTCTTTCTTTGGCGATATCAGGGCTGCTGCTGAGAAATGCTGGATGGAAGTTTTGGAAGTAGACTTTCAGGCTTTACTTCAATTCATCCTTAAAGTATCAAAGACGAGTTCAACATGAAAGATAAGTCAGAGCAACAGACTCAAGAGAAAGAATACTCATTTCTCTCTAAGCACTAAGCTTTGCTGTCACAACCAAGCATGTGGTAACTACCAAGCATACCAAGCATACGGTAACTACCCATACCCTTTTCTCCACTGGGTGGTTTTCTTTCAGTAGACCAGTCTTCTAAAGAAACAGGCTGAAATTCAGTTCACCAAATGTGCCCATTAAGCATTCCAGTTGCAAAGTTATATTCTATGCCTTGTCCCTAGAATGTTAGGAGAGATGTGACTGTATTCAGGAGAAAAAAATATTGAAAGTGTTTTGGATAGATAGAAGCTGAGAAATAAGTGCCCAGAGTTAGTTATTATTGAGTTATTTGGTTGCTAGTGAGTCAGTATGAAAAGCAAAGAGATGAAGAGAAAAAATATGTCATGTTGAGGTAAAACCAGACCCTGTAAAGGAAAAGGATATGATACTTGTTAAGGGAAGTTTAAAAGAATTTATATAGAACAAGCACTTCTTGTGGGTGATTCCAAAATTGATTACTCTGTGTGTCCTATATTCTTACCCATTTTGGGGGAGAACTTAGCATTGCTATAAACACAGAACAGTAGCGTACAGAAAATGCAGGCTGACATCATTCGGATGTTGTTGAGGAAGATGGATTCTTAGATCCCTGTGTTTTAGAAGGCGGTAAATAAACAAACTTTAAAAATTGGTTACAGATTAATATATGATACTTTCCAGAACTTTTGCTCTAAGCTGTTGTTAACCTGCTGAAACCATTGATATTTAGAGATATTAGGGATGAGATTAGACTGGGCAAATTTTGTTCTTGGGAAGAGTACAATGTCTTGATCAATAAAATAAAAGAAGAGTTATTTTTTTCTACTATAGTTATAAAGGAATGAAGGGACAGTGTTCAGAAAGAGGCAAAGGGGGTGTAAATTACTCTGTAAGAGCACAGAAGCAGTAGAACAGGGGATGGACAATGGAAAGACATTTACCTTTTCTAGACTGAAGTTAGGAAGGTTAATTAATGGCTTAGTGTGGTGATCATTAAGTGCACAGACAATAAATTCCTGTCAGGAAGGGAGGTTTATATGAATTTGTGAAGCAATCGACAATTATGAGAATGATTCTATATAACATATAGAATGTCCCAAGTTTAATATTGCAGAGGCAGAGGTGGCTAAAAGTAAGCAGAGTTAGGGTAATCATGAGAAAAATCAGAACTGATCTATGGACTATGGCTAGGGAAAGAGTGAGTCAGAATACAGAGAAGATGGTGATAGTTTATAGATTCAGGTGTCTGTGGGCATGAACGGGAATGAAGTTTGCATTCAAGGCATTTCATTGTGAGAGAAGAACTATGCCAATGCAGTGTTTCCTTACCCCAGAGGCTCTGCTGTACTTCATGCCTCGGGAAGGCTGCAGGCTTCAGAACTGCAGCTTCAGTGCTTTTCTCAGTGTGGGGTTGCTCATCATCAGTACAGTAAAGTGAATACAGACAAAACCATAGATGACAACTTCGGAGACCCAGAACCATGATTTCTTATCAAATATGGTACCAATAAATGATATTACTACAGTCAGAAAGTAGGAGGTAAAGAAGATAAAGAAGGTAGCAAGAGTCCTCAGCACAGTGGACTGAGCCTTCAGGCTGGAGCTTCTGGTGTTATACTGTTTCATCTGCTCCCAGTGCTGGACCAGCGAGACTGTGAGTAAGATGATAGAAACCAGGAACACGAAGAAGGGAGCACCAAACCCCACCATGTTAAGAGGACTATTAAAATATTCTTCAAACATTTTAAGTCTTAGAATCAAAGAACTGTTTCTGGGTAAATGATCCAGGGTGATTAATTTCATGTGGATGTGATTCTTAACAATAGAAGGGATAACTGATAAACAAGAAGCTATCAGAGTACCCAATATCAACCAGGGAACCAATTTCAGAAATTTCCACCTCAGCCAGAGGAAGACGGGGTATGTGAAAGAAGAGACCTTGACACAGTAGAAGACAGCAAGCAAGCTGGTTAGCCAGAATGTCCAGATGTTCATGAACTGCCACACGACTGAAATCTTCCAAAGTGAATGCACAGGCCTAGAATACGTTCCCAAGTTGTACATCATCGACGCCCATTGCTGACAGAAATGGGAGAAGCCCAGGCTGATGAGGATCATCTCCACTGGTGACAATCTTTGAAAGTGCATCCAGTCTCTGAACAGCACTGCAACTGTTAAACAGCTTTGCCCAATTATTAGCAAGGACTCGAGCACATACATGACGGCGCAGAAGATGCTCACTTGTGCTGGCACCATGCTTCCACTCGGAAGTGTCTTCCTGGACAAAGGCAGAAGCTCTATGCCAGTGTCCAAATAGGAAACAGGTACGAGTTCTCACCCCTCCCAGTCAAGGAGAATATCTCTGTAGAGATGCAAATCCTCCTCCCTCTCATCTAACATAGCCATTTTCCTATCTACAAGATTTGTCTATGCTTTGCTTGTTGGGGTGGATTCACACAAGGATGCATGAAAAGTATTGTTTGGATGTGGATTCTTGATCCTAAGATGATTTGATTATTTTCGTAAAGAGGAACCATTATATATGCGTGTTTGCGTTACCTACCTATCTGCTCAGGGTACTCCTTGATTAGCTCTCTATCATCTTTAAAATACATAAATTTAAAATTTGAACAATAGAAAAGATGAATCTTTCTCTGTGCATTAATGACCCAGGCAATGTTTCCATTCTGTCAAATGCCAACCTGATGTCCACTTCAGAATCTCTGTCTCTCCATCACCTTCAACAGCTGGGATTGTGAGCACTACAAATAAAATTTGAAGGAAAAAAAGAGGGTAACAGAACACTTTGCCTGGAAATTCCACCCATAATTACTAGAAACATGGGCCTTTCAGTGTCCCTATCTGTTGAAAGCCAATCTCAAAATTGCCCTCTGAGTCTACCAACTCAGAGATGTCAAGTTGCAGGAAAACCATCACACATTCTTTTTTGACTTCCCATGGAAATGAAGTATTTTTGCTACTGCTCTTCTGCTATTTTTAATGCCTTCAGTACATACTTCACATAGTTTTGGGAATTGTTCTTGTTTCATTAATATCACTTTCTTTTCTCCTTTAATGATTAGGGGTTTTTTTTTTGTCATTTTTCACAGATGAACTGAAAGAGAACCATCTCACCACTAGTAAAGCATATCACTTCTAAGTGTATAAGGCATTCTTTCACAGATATGCAAGACAGCTAGAGAAGAAGTAGTTTATTTCTCCTGCTATAGGACAACTATCCAAATAGGCACCAACTCTTTAGTTAGTGCCCTCAAAAATGACAGACAGATCCTTGCACTTGATAGCTAGTGAGAGAAAGAAAGGGAAAGTTGTTGGCTCTATGAACACCAAGTCTAGGTGGACATTTAGTTATTCAAGGGTGGGAAAGCAGAAACAATCTAACATAAAATATAGAGTTGTTAAGCATAAACCTTTGGAACACACTGAACTCAGTGGTGCAAAAGGAAACAATCTATATGTTTCAATTACACCAACACATGGGATTAAAATTAGAAAATATCTGCTTTGCAGTTCTATAAAGGATGGGTTGGTTGAAATGTAGGTTCTCCACACAAGAGGAGCAAGAGATGAAATGTGAACTTTTTTTTAAAGCATGCAATGACAATAGTAACATCTGTTTTGTGTACTGGTCTGCTGAGCATGCTCCTTCCTACATACAGTGGCCTTAGAGAGAGCGGCCTGGTTCAAGCTTCTGTCTCATGCACCGTCCAAGTGCAGAAGATATCATGTCACAGACCTCAGGACTGATGATATCTACAAGAGTTCAACCAGGATGAATCTCTGTCCAAAGTGGCATTTTATATCTTGCCTACAACTGAAGAGACATCTGATTCCTCCCCCCCATACACTGGGCATCCTTTGTGTGGTCATAGAAATTAAATTTCCTAGATATTCCCCTTGAAAGTGTTTGGCGGAGACACACAGAGTGAGTTGGCATTCTCTGCTGATAGAACTGCAAAGACTGCTTCTTCTGTTGTGTGGCCACATCTCTCCACTGTCCACTGCAGTGATAGTAATTTGAGTTTTCTGAGAACTATTGCCCATTAGCCAGCGTCATCAAGTTGACCAGGCCCAGTTTTCTGCAGAGAATCTCCTATCCAAAGGCATTCTCATGTATTAAACAAACAAACAAACAAACAAACAAACTTTTGCTCCCTTTGCTTATTTGTATATGTCTGTGTGTACATTTGTCTGTGTCTGTGTGTATGGCATGCATACAGCCTACATGTAGAAAGGTCAGAGGACAACTTGTGGGAGGCAGGATTATCTCTTTTAACCCTGGGATTCTTGGGAATAAAACGTTGGTCAAGTTTTGTGGCAGTTGCCTTTGGCCAGCCTTCTGAAGTTCATGGACGGTAGAATAGGATCTCTTGGTTGCATGCGCCTTCCAGTTCTCATTCTGCATGTGAGAGCAAAGGTCCATTAGCTTGTTTCCTACTGTTTCTACTCTTTTCTTAAGGCCAAATAGTCCTCACAGTTAGGACTTTTGTATCTGTCACTCTGGTTCTTGAGGGAAAACCTTGTCTCATCTAATACTACCTAATTATTCTTACTTGGAAGTTTAGGATGACTAATTTATTCAGTTTTGGATTTAACTATTGTAAAACAAGGCACACACAGTCCTAGGCAGTAATCTCTCCATTACTGAAAATAAATTTTGCTCATATAATATATTCTGATTATGGTTTAACCTTCCCCAAATCCTCCTAGATCCTTCACACTTCCCCACCAATCAAATCCATACCCTTTCTTGCTCTCTCCCTCGATAGAAAACAAATTTCTTTTTCCATATATGTGTGTGCTTGTGAGCATATATTTACACAGGCTCTAAGATCAACAATCAATAAGTGGAACCTCATGAAACTGAAAAACTTCTGTAAAGCAAAGGACACTGTCATCAGAACAAAACAACAGCCTACAGATTGGAAAAGAATCTTCAACAAACCTATATCTTACAGAGGGCTAATATCCAGACTATATAAAGAACTCAAGAAGTTAAACATCAACAAATCAAGCAATCCAATTAAAAAATGGGTGCGGAGCTAAACAGAGAATTCTTAAAAGAGGAATATCGAAAGGCAGAGAAACACTTAAAGAAATACTCAACATCCTTAGTCATCAGGGAGATGCAAATCAAAACAACCCTGAGATTTTACCTTACACCCATCAAAATGGCTAAGATCAAAAACTCAAGTGACAACACATGCTGGAGAGAATGTGGAGAAAGGGAAACCCTCCTCCATTGCTGGTGGGAATGTAAACTTGTACAACCACTTTGGAAATCTGGCGCATTCTCAGACAATTGAAATAGTGCTTCCTCAAGATCCAGCTATATCACTCCAAAGCATATATCCAAAAGATCTCAAGTACACAACAAGGACATTTGCTCAACCATGTTCATAGAAGATTTATTTGTAATATTGTAATATCTAGAATCTGGAAACAACCCAGATGTCCCTCAACATGGAAGAATGGATACAGAATTTTGGTATATTTACACAATGGAATACTGCTTAGCAATTAAAAAGAAGGAAATCATGAAATTTGCTGGCAAATAGTGGGAACTAGAAAAGATCATCCTACGTGAGGTCTCCCAGAAACAGAAAGGCACACATGTTATATACTCACTTATAAGTGGATATTAGACATATAATATAGGATAATCAGACTAAAATCTATACACCTGAAAAAGCTAAGCTAGAAGAAGGACCCTGGGTAAGATGATCAATCCTCACTCAGAAAGGCAAATATGATGGATATCAGAAGAGGGAGAAAACAGGAAACAGGACAAGAGCCTACCACAGAGGGCCTAAGAAAGACTCTAGCCAGCAGTGTATCAAAGTAGATGCTGAGTGTTAAAGCCAAACTATGTGCAGGGAATCTTATGAAAGAAGGGGGAAATAGAAAGACCTGGAGGGGAATGGAGCTCCACAAGAAGAGCAACAGAACCAAAAAATCTGGGCACGGGATCTTTTTTGAGACTGATACCCCAACTAAGTGCCATGCATGGAGATAGCTAGAACCCCTGCACAGATGTAGCCCCTGGCAGCTCAGTGTCCAAGTGGGTTCCCTAGTAAGGGGAAGAGAGACTGTCTCTGACATGAACTCAGTGGCTTGCTCTTTGATCACCTCCCCCTGAAGGGGGGGTGCAGCCTTACCAGGCCACAGAGGAAGACAATGCCACCACTCCTGATGAGACCTGATAGGCTAGGATCAGATGGTAGGGGAGGAGGACCACCCTATCAGTGAACTTGGAAAAGGGCATGGGAGGAGTTGAGGGAGGGAGGGAGGATGGGATTTAGAGGGGATGAGAGAGGGAGCTATGGCTAGGACACAAAGTGGATAAATTGTAATAAATTTTAAAAAAATAAAAAATATTGAAAATGGTAAAATTAAAAAAGAACATTCAGTTAGCAAAAGGCGAACAACAATAAGCAATAACCCTCACAAAAAAAAGTATACTTTTGTTTCAAATTTTGACAGGCTTCAGTATAATCACGCAGTTGGTAGTGCAGTGCTCTCAAGGCCCACTCCTACCCTGGAAGACACACCCATTACCAGTCACCCCTCATATCTGTTATTAGTATTTTATGATTTACTCACTTTGCATCTCCATTGTAGCCCCTCCGTCATCTCCTCCTGGTCCCACCCTTTCTCCCTCTTCCTCCCCTATCTCTCTCCCCTAGTCCACTGATAGGGAAAGTCCTCTTCCCCTACTGCCTGACCCAAGTCTATCAGGTCCCATCAGGCCTGCCTCGATCCTCTTCCTCTGTGGCCTGTCTAGGTCACTCTACCAGGGAGAAGTAACCTTCTGGTCTCAGAAACAAAATGCAATTTTGATAACTTCAGTTGGAAACTGTAGGAAAACAGAAAGCTGTATACACTTCTGGAAGAAATATAAATTAGTGGTGCTACACTGAAAAGCAACTTGGTCTCATTAATAAGCCATTACTTCTTGGGTGTATATTGTATGATATAGAGAAATTCGTGCACATTTGTGACAAAAGAGAGGCCCCTAATACTGATGGACTGGAAGCTGAGTAAACAGCCAGCCGCTGAGTAAGTGATAAAGTCTGGCACATTTATACGATGCCATAAAAACACAGACGTTTATTTGCCTTCCTCCAAACTAGTTTCCTACACTTGATTCTTGCCCGCAGAGTCTCTTAGTGGAGAGTTTTTAAATGCCAGACTTACTTTAATGTCTCCTTTGCATATTCAGCCTGGGCATGAAA